AGGAGAAAGTGATCAATTTGATGAGAATTGCAACGTCCACTTGGATTACGAGACCTTCAATTAGGCACATACCCAAAAAAGAATAATCACTTAAGAATCATTTTTTAATAATTTTTAATGTGCGATGGAAACGGAATGTATCCGTCGCAAATTTGCGACGGAAAATAGTATCCGTCGCAAATTTTGCGACGGAATTTTCATTTATTCGTCGCAAATTTGCGACGAAATCAGGTATCCGTCGCAAATTTGCAACGGATACTGAAATCCGTCGCAAATTTTGCAACGGAATTTTCATTTATTCGTCCCAAATTTGCGACGGAGTTCAGTATCCGTCGCACATTTGCGATGGAATCAGGTATCCGTCGCAAATTTGCGACGGCACATAGTATCCGTCGCAAATTTGCAACAGAATTATCATTTATTCGTCGCAAAACGGCGTGGCCGTTCAGCCTCATCCAAAGGCCGGCGAGGTGTCACCGGTCGCCGGTCGTTAAACCGGTGATGCAGATAAAAAAAAAATAAACATAAACATATATTAAAAAAACAGAAATTACAATGCAACGACGAATAGTCACGAAGCTAGCTATGACACTTACCGTTACAAAAGCTTCACCGAGATTAATATGTGCGTGCGCGGATTTTGCTGATTTCAGACATATGAAAGAGGGAGAAAAACGAGAGAGAGCGAGAGAGAGCGAGAGAGAGAGATAGGGTTGGAATATCACGGGCTGATAAACTACGAATTTGCGATGGACGTTGTTTTCGTCGCAAATTTGCGACGGACTTACAATGCCGTCGCAAATTTGCGATGGATTTTGCGACGGTTTTATTTTCCGTCGGAAAATTGCGACGAACGTTTTTCCGTCACAAATTTGCGACAGAATTTGCGACGGAAATAAACCGTTGCAAATTTGCGACGGAAAATGTAATCCGTCGCAAATTTGCGACGGAAAAACGTTCGTCGCAAATTTCCGTCGCAAATTTCGTGTTTTTTTGTAGTGTTCGACACCTTATCTTTCTTGTCCGGCTTTTTAATAATAACGATCACCTGTGATCGTTCTTTGTTTATGTACCTTTTCCTGTTAAATTTCTTATGCAGGAGTTTTTTACGTTGTAGCGTTTGTTTGACACATGTTCTCGTTCTCGATAATCATCCGGTTGTATTTCTATTTCTCACAACTGGGTTGTTCGTTCATTTTGAATTACCAATTCATCTGCTGTTTAGAAATATAGGGTTGTTTTCTTTAAGATATCGGCCACGTAATATTAGCTTTTCTTTTTGTATTTTGCAATCAGTCTATTCATGTAGCCGAGTCTAATTTTTCTTTTTCACTTTGAGTTTACATTACTAACGGTCTTTAGAAAAAAAAAATTGAATATAAATCCAACCGTAGGTAATTCACTTTAATTTTTCCGAATCTATTTATAGGCTTGAAAACAAATTTAGGGCAAAGACTCGACAATGTTTTTATAATACAATCAAAATGCATAATATAAGAGGATTTACATTATCTTTTGTAAATTTAATATCAATAAAATTTCAACAGACATTTTTCGATTGAGAAAAATAATGATATTCGCCAGCCTCCGGCAAGCTCGTCCCTTGCCTGTGGCCTTTCGCTGGCCGTCGCCATGGCCGGCCACCGGCGGGGAGGAAGGAAAAAGAAAAAACAGAAAAGGAAAAAGGAAAAGAAAAATAATTAAAATATTTTTTAAAATAAAAATAAAATTTATTAAAAAAACATTGTCATTTTCATGAAAACATTTTCGAGAAATGTTATATTTTCCGAGAAACAAATGGACCTCAAATTTTTTTCAAAAAACATATATAAATTATCCACTAGATTTGTATTGCATGAAAATGTTTTAGCAATGCAATTTTTTAAAATAATTAGCAGAAATAAGCTTTCATAGATTTAGTTAAATGGGTTAGGTCGGGTATGAGTTGGGTATATGGATTGGGTCGAGAAATTTGCTTTGTGATAAATGGTTTATAAATGGGTCAATTTTGGGTCGGACCATTTATGACCCGACCCAAATCTTATTCGACCTATCCGTTTAACAGGTTTAGTTGAAGACGACACATAGACATAAGGTCTTGATATAATCGTTAAAAAGGAAATGTAGGGAAACTTTAACACTATGTGATGATGCTTCCCTAGTTGGAAGAAAGAGAAGTCTTTCCTTGGATTCGTCAATGGCGTTCTTCTAGCGACGCCATTAGTGACAACTAAAATGAATTTGCAGTCAAGACGCGCAAAAGTCTGGTCTTTCGAATCTCCCGTTCCAATCGTGCTCTATAATTGCATTGCGGGTCTTGACTGAATAGAAAGAGCTTATCTCGCTTGTTTAGTAACGTTAAGGTCTTATCTTGCGGGCAACGACGACCTCAAGGATGTCGAGTTCTTCTTGTTCATATTGGCTGAACATTTATTTTCAACCATCGCGAATATGATAGATCTCTATAATTGTACTGTGGGCCTTGTTCCAATTATTCTTAGAAACTCACAATGATGATGAGAATATCGGATAGTTAAGCCATTTTGAGTTGAAGAAGAGATAAAAAAAAATTGAATTTTTTTTATTTTTATTTTTCTGTTTTTCTTTGCTTTTTTTCTTCATTATGCCGGCAAGGGTTGTTGCGAAGGCCTCGCCCATGGCCGGCTAGGTCGAGATGGCCCTGGGTGAGGCCACAAAGGCCCTTGCCCACGGCCTGCGAGGTCACCATGCCTCACCCATGGCCGGCGAGGGTCGCCAGTGACCCTGGCTAGCACAACGAAAAAAAGCAAAGAAAACAGAAAAATAATAAGATAATGAAAAATTACAAAAATTGTCCACATCAGCGTTGTTTTACGTAAGATAACTAGCGTCCACGTCAGCGATTTCCGGCCACTTTTGGCCGGAATGACTTAATTGCCAAATTGTCAAAAGGTTTATGATTAAATTGATCAAATTAAAAGGTTTAAAACTAAATTGGTACAAGTGCAATAGGTTTATGACTTTTTTGGTAATTTTTTCCCATATATTTTTTTTGATATCCTAAAATTGAGGGAGGAAATCTATTTTGGGAAAGATTTCGCGGCCTGATTTTGTATATTTTTACATCATTAACAAGCGAAACATCATGAATGTAATGACACGAAGTACAGCTACTGCTAATGAGCTGAGCAACATTGCATTCCAAATGACACGATTTGCACTGCCCATGCGTTCCCTAGAAGGCTTGCTCGGACAAGCTTGAAACTAAAGAAAACAAACATTGGCTACTACTGAGAAACAAGCCAACTACAAAGATGATTCTTCTGCAGGACTAGAATGCCCATGAACTTCGCGAGATCGGAGAACTACTGGATTTATTGATGATGTGGTGAACAGGCCTTTCTTTGTTCTGGACGCTCTTCTCAATCTCCTCATCAAACCGGCTCCCTTCACCGCAACAATCGCGTGTATCGTGTCTATTTGACGATCCACGAAGTACGTGCAGCTCCAATACTTCTTGAACACCAACCCGCTCGAACTACTCCCCAAAACCCAGTCGCAAACCCGAGCATTATGACTATGCAGAACATCACCTTCCTTCTTCATTGGTATCTTCTTCATATAGCCAGGACAATTTGGAATCCGGTTATTCACGGCAAGGTTCAACATTTGCAATGCGAAGAGATACTGCTAGTGAACTTGTTTTCTTGCCGCCCAAGAATTTGTAGAGACCAGAAACTCGGTCCGATCCAATTTGGAACACGCCCAAAGAATTTGTTCTAGATCCGTCAAAGACAACAAAGTACCTAATGATGGTGCAATGGACCCATTCAATCGATTATTTGAAAGACCTAGCGATTACCAAATTTTGCAATTTTCCCATAACTTCAGGAGTTGGACCCGAGAAGGAATTCCTAGAAAGCCATAAATATTTTAATTTCCTCAAAGTGCACTAACCAATTCAGTGACCCATCAAGTTGGTTTCCTGAAAGATATGCATTCAGCACATCTAATGATTCCTGGAAAAAATGCAACCATCTCTGTGCATTTCAATTGAGAAATGGAATGGAAAGCTACATGTCTCTTTCAATTAAAGTTTTGCGAAAATGAAAGTCCGCAAAAACTCCAAGTCAACTCAACTTTTATCGCTCTTCGCATAATCTCATTTCTCATCCTCATAATATGAAATTTAAAAAAAGAACTGACATTATCTCATCATACATCATAATTCCATAAGTTTATAGATAAAATTGAAGCTTAAGATTTCAATGTAGGATGTGATTGTTATTATAAAGATTAGAGAAAGAGAATCAAGACTAAAAAGAATTCTTAAAGAGGAAATAATAAAAAAATACTTGAAATTATAAATATATGATGTTCTTTACTCCATTACATTAGATTGTGCTGAGTAAAATAATAGTAGACTAACGATTCACTGTAGCTTCAATAAAATAAGACACTAACCCATAGAGTGCAAAAAGAATGGAAGAACATAATTGGCACTTTTAAACTAAAAAAAACAAAAGATAATTATATAGTACAATAGAAATAAAAAAAAAAACTAAGGATAAGTGCAATTAAGTCCTAAAATTACCATTTGGCTGAATAGAAACGGGAAATGAGAAAAGAAGAGGAAAGAAGGGACAGACATAATTTGTTGGGCAAACTACTGTGAACTTAATTCACATAATATGCACGCCCTACACAATTCTTCTTTGATATTAGTAAAACCTATTAAATGTTCAAAGGTCACTTTTACATTATGTATTAGAGATTACAAGCACAGCAAACAATCTTGCAATACATAACTCGCATGATATTGAGAACAACTACATTTAATTCACTATTTCCAGACAAGAAGCAACTATAATTCGCAGTACTAAAGAAGCTCAGTATTGCAACAAGGGATCTTAGGAAAACATAACCAGAAACGCCCTTATGATCAATGTCATCACCTCATTCAGTCAATAATAGCCATGTAATAGATTGTGCATGCAGAGAAAGAAAACAAAAAGCCCATGTTAATACATAATTACAATCACAACAAACAAGATGAACAATAAGCAAAGAGCTATAGAGAAAGATTAAATGAAGTTACAAAAAGACCGAAATCTTTGCTCGATGGCATCGTCTTGCCACACCAATGTGGACCACCATGATTGCTCGGCGTCAATGGACCTTAGATTGATAGCATTTTTCTCAGTAAAGGGAAGTTTCAACAAGGATGGACATGAAGCTATATCCACTCTCTCTAGAGAAGGCCAAATCAATAAGTCATCCGGCGCAATGCTCCTTAATTTCGGAAGATCATGAAGTACTAGCTTTTTAAGACTCGGAAGTGTTCTCGAGTCCAGGCAAGGATTCTCGGTTTCAAGGATGATCTCCTCAATTTCATAGCACTCTTCGACACTCATATGTTGTAGTTCGGATAGTTGTTCGATCAATCCATTTGAGAATATCTTCTTGAGCTTGGGGCAATTGCACAAGGTTAAACTAGTCATTTGACCTAAGCTTCCCACAGGCACGGGACCCTTCCAAATGCAATGCAAACTTGGGGCATTGTTTATAACCATTCTCTCTAGCCATTCGAATGCACGAGGTGTTGCTACAGTACCGTCGATAATGCATATGATATCCTTGCAGCCCTCCACCGAACAAGCTCTGAGTTTACCCAAGTTCTCAGTCCCAAAATCTGATAAGCTCAATATGTTCTTATGATCAATCAGTTCAAATACATCGGTCTGAGTGAGTACTTCTGAGATCACAGGATGTATGCCTTCATCGTTTGCGTACTTCAAGTACTTGCACAACTCATATTCAAAATAATCAAGAATATGATACTTAACCGAATTGCAAGTACCGACTGAAAACTGAAATGTGAAGCTTAGGTCCTTCCACAGACGGCTTGATCTGACGAAGATTTCAAGGCACTCCACTTTAGGAAAGGAAAACGTTAGTGAAGTCAACCGTGTCAAGGTAGAGACCTCCTCCGTGATGGTCCTCATGACATGATCAGACCACAAAGTGTTTGGGTCTACATCAATGATGAGTTCTTCTAATAATGAAATGCTTGAAATCACCTTGGAGACTGGGTTTCCGGCACCAAAATTTGACAATGACATGCGTAAACATCTCATACGCGTTAAACTTCCAACTTGAATAGGTAAAGAGATGATTCCGGTGTGCCGTATGTCAAGCACCTCCAGATGCACCAGTGCCTCTAAGCTTGAAGGTAGTTGTATTAAACGCGTGCAGGAATTCAAGTAGAGTGCCCTAAGATCAGTCAAGCAAGACAAAGAAGGTGGAAGGGATGCTATTGCCGTACCGTGTAAGTCCAACACTTTAAGTGTTTGCATAGACAAGAAGAAGCCATCTGGGATCATCATTAAATTGTAATTTCTTTGCAAAAGTAAAGTCGAAAGATTTGTGCAATTTGGTGCTGCCGGTAAACTGCACAAGTCATTATCCATCAAAGAAATTCGACTTGCAGATGCCCATTCTTCTTCCTTTGGCCCCTCCTTTAGCCCCTCGCATGTTCTTGCCAAGAACTTATGGTCTAAGACTTGAGATGAAATTTTAAGGGCCATATTACGAAGTACTTTGTTCATTCGGACATGTCTCTTCATCGCACTTTTTTCTAACAAAGATACATTAATCAGATCGTGCAATATGTTGTGCCCTTTATCACGTGCATCTCGAAACAAATCAATGCTATGTAGAAATCCCTCTGCCTTCCAACATTCCATCAAATAGTCCACAAATATGTCAAAGTCTTCGGGAAACAATGCTCCATAAAGAAAGCAAACCTTTTTATCCTCCCCATCTAAATCCTCGTAACAGAACTTCAGAAATTCAAGCACTTCATCCATGCCTTGGATGTTGATACTGGGCCATCTCTGCAAGCTCCTCAATCCATCTCTCCATAGGTGAATGTTGTCCTTCTTTCTAAAAACCCTCGCCACTTTATCGATTAACAGTGGCAAACCAGCACACTCTCTAACCACGAGTTGTGCTATAGGTATAATGCTTGGATTTTTCATAGTTCGACCTACTTTTTCTTCGAACATTTTATATGCATCGGTATTGGATAAACGCTTCATATTGACAAGCTCGTCAGCATCCATGTCATAGCACAAATCACGGAATCTACTGGCAAATACCACCTTGCTGTCCTTGTCATGGTTGGGAATACCTATCTCATGTATATCAACAGGATCCCAAACTTCATCAAGGAGAAGTAAGTACCTCATGCCTTCCAACTCGTTTGATATTAGTTGGGCAGTCTCAACCGCGTTGACTCCGCCTTCGAGTTTCAGCTTCAGACGCTGTGTGATTGCATCTTGCACCTTCTCAATGCTCCACGCCTTCGACACTGATACCCAAATGACAATATCAAACATTTTCTTAACCTCTTCACAATTATTCAAGTTCTGCATCACCGTAGTTTTCCCAGTCCCCACCATTCCCCAGAGTCCGATCCTTTTGATATTTCTCTCCCTCAGATTACCCAAAATCTCTTCGACAGCCCAGTGTAGGGAAGGTTTATCCTCAGTGCTAGGAGCATCTATGACTCTCACGGGCTCCGGGGATCTTTCAGCTACCACCCCATTATCAAGCTTTCCTTTTTCTAGCAGGACTTGTAATTCCTCACGCTTCTTGGCCATATGCTTGCTGAGATTTGCACGTGACCAGAATCGAGCGTATCTCCAAGCATGCACGATCTCTTTCTTGTACTTGCTTTCCAATTTGAGTACTTCTTGTTCGGCTGCCTTGACCCTGTTAATCCAGCCTTCACATTCCTTGGTAGCCCTCTTCATCTTGTTTTTGTTTATTTCTGCCTCTACATCATCCCTTCTTGCATAAAGCATTTTTGCTTGCTCGTTCATCTTCTCAAAATTGACCTTGAAATCATCAGCATAGTCAATTTTTTGACTGACGTAGCCAAAAATGCTACGTCCATCCTTGTAGGCTTCGACTGCTATGGCAGAAGCTGCTGCTTCAACCATGACTATCACAAGAACAAAATTAATTAGAAAAAGCACTCCAAGAAAATGCAGATTACTTGAGTAGAAAAGAGCAAGTCATCCATTTTAGTTATGAGATGTATACATAGACAAAAGGGAAAACAGAATTCGACTTTACATTTGTCGAGCGAACGTACAGGAAAATATCCTCAAAAAAAGAGGAATGAGAGTAACTTTTGCAATGATTCAGAGACTTCAACAGGGATGTCTCAACAACAAAAAACTTAAAACTTCTGCATTTGGCTCAATTACAGTCTTAGTGAATATGACCCATATGTTCAAACCTATGTTTTTAGGAAAGATCAGTACCTAAACTAGAACGTGCTTATATGCCAATGTAATAAAAGCAAAAGGCAAGTCAAAGTAGTGAGAGAAGTCTCAGCAGCCACAACCTTGCAGCTCTTGGTTCAGCTCAAGTACACACTGAATCTGAATGCTACCTTTCCACAAAAAAATGGGCACTTGAAAAGGCAGACCAAATGAAAAAAAGAGCTCTATCTTATAATCGGCTGCTTAAAGGAAGTTGCCGTCTTAGCCACACACAGGAAGAAATGTTAGGTTCTACATGGACATCCACAGAGTTCAATCCGAGAGACCCACTGATTCAGAAGAAGACCATTTTAGACCATCAGGAATTAGGAGATGGCAGCAGTGCAAGCTGCAAAAGTTGCATTTTTTTGTGATCGCACCACACCATCGTTTCATCACATAGCAGAGGATCAATCTTGCAGTAGAGATTGGATCCTTTTCAAGAACAGGCTTAGGAAACACAAAGGAAAGAAAGAATAGGAAAGGAAAAGATAAAAATACACTCCCACAAGCAGCATATATTAGAATTAGAGCGAGTGAAGGAGCATCTCGTGTACCTGATTCTGCAGAGATTGAGATTGGCAAGATGAGAATCACATCTTAGAAAAGTCATTAACAGTTGAAGCTGCTCGACGGAGAGAGAGAGGGGGGTGAATCAGTGGTGATCCATTGACGTTGACTTGTCATAAAGACGAAATTGGACCTACACAATTGCATAAATTCCCTCGTACGAACTTGTCAAGTTTTCGTACAATAATGCCTCCACGTGTCTAACTTTAATTAGGTGTCTGAATACTGTCCACATGCTTTCTCCCCGCTTCTTTAATTTTGTAAAGTTCAAATAATATTGCAAATTATTAGGAGAAAGTCTTCTTCTTTTGCCCAGAGAGAGAAAGTCAATAAGCAATTTTCCTGCCTAAAAACTTTATTGCAACTCGCCATTCATAGGAGGTGTGATTTGTTTCAAAGTGAATAGGTTTCAGGTTCTAACCTATTAGAGCCGATTCTTAATTTTTGAAATTCGGGAACCGAACTAGTGGACCTTGGAATTGACTTGGTACCTAAACCGGCTATTCCAGAGTAGACTCGAGATTCGGCCACATTTTTTTTTTTCTGTTTTATTATTTATTTATTTATTTATTTATTTGAGATCTTAGACTTTGAACGAACAAACTTTAAAAAAGAAAAGTGGAGTGACCTGATTAATAATTGCCAAAAATTCCCAAAAAGCTGCCCACCCTTTTGTGGTCTCTGTAATATGATTAGCCCTCCTTACCCAGCGAAATCTAAATGGAGACGATGGAAGGACCCGACAGAGAGACCGAAGAAAGGCAACCTGGACCCATTTTCTCAGTTCTCTTCCGAAAGGTAACCGGCCCTGGCCGTGTAGAATTTTGAGATCGAACAATACCGATATTATTTTCTTTCAATTTGAATATGTAAGAGCACACAATTTTATTTTATTTTATCTTTTTCCTAACATTTAATAACAAAATAGATCGATATAGATAACGGGTTATTTTAATATGTCAATCGTTACTACGGATGTAGTAATTAAAATTCATATAGTTTGATAGAGTAATACATGCGGCCTTTATCGGTCCAATCTATCCTTATCCTTCTCTACATTGAAGCTTTGCCTTGTTTTTTTTTCAAGAGAACTTATATGAAAAGTGGACTTCATGTATATTCTGGCTTCTGCTTTGTGAGGATCTTGTGTTTGGTGGTGCAGCTTGTATGTCCCTGCTCCGGGTCAAGTGTATCCGTTTGGAAGCGGGATTTTAAGTAGGATTAACACAAGGAGCATGATAGAGACGATTCGCAACGGGTTTCGATCACTTAACCTGCGCACGATAGGATTAGAGATATGACACAAATGATTTCTGAACTTTGGTTCAATGTGTAATTGGATTTTTGAACTTTTAATTTGATCAATATGATCTCTGAACTTTAGCAAAATGTGTAATGTGGTCCCTAAACTTTCAATTTGTTTAATGTGGTCCCTAGAATTTTGATACATGATCAATTTTAGTTCATGAATTATATGAAAATATTCAATATTATCCTTCGATTAATTCAAGTTCAAAGACAACATTAAACATTTTCATATAATTTAGGGACTAAAATTGAATATGTATCAAAAGTTGATGGGCCATGTTAAGCTACAGTTGGTGGGGATCATATCGAACAAATAAAAAGTTAAGGGATCACATTACTCTGCGGGATCAGTTGTGTTATTTTTCCTTAGGATTACTCCACCAACACGAAGAATTTCAACTTGGCCGAACCGGATATCCTTAGGATTACTCCACCAACACGAAGAATTTCAACTTGGCCGAACCGGTCTTATCCGGACGCACTTGACCGGTTCGTTCGCGTTCTACAATCTAAAATCGATCGGTTTACATGTGTCGGGAAACGGCCTGGAGGCCGGCGGTTCTAGTTTGCCGCCCCTCTCTCTCTCTCTCTCTCTCTCTCTCTCTCAATCGCCGACGGTGCCGTTCTTCGTTTGCTTCTTCCTTCTTTTGGGGTGCGATCATGGGGAACGTCAGGAGCAGGCCGGAGTCGATTGAGCAGTGGAGACGCCATGGAAGTAGGACGAGAGCGAGTCTTCCGTCGCAGGCCCTCGATTCAGGTCCTGCTCTGGTTTCAGGTCCGTACTGTTCGAGCATCCGATTCCGACATCTCTCGCAGTCCCTTCATTTTCCTCCTCGAATTCTGTCATACATGTTTGGTTCTTGGCTGGAATTGTTCATGTGCTGTTTGACTCAGGTACACCGCAACAGGCAGAGGAACTTGAGATATGTTATGACGACATCGAATCCAGTCCGCCTGAAGACAGCAGAACGGTCCTTATGCGTGGGGGTTTAGGACTGATGGAGACTCCGGAGGTCACGCAGTGGCAGAGTTTCACAGAGATTTACTTGATGGAAAATCAGTTGACTGAGTTACCCGAGGATCCTCCTCTGTGTCCTCTACTTTTGGTATTGTTTCTGAATAGAAATTACAAGCTCAGAACGATTAGTCCCTCTTTCTTTGATTACATGCCTGCTCTGGAAATCTTGAATTTGTCCCGAACTCGGATCAAGTCCTTGCCAGATTCTCTGTTCAGGTTAAGCAGCCTCAAAAGACTATTCTTAAATCATTGTGAGCTATTGATGGTGTTACCTCCGAAAATTGGAGAACTTCAGCAGCTTGAGGTACTTGATCTTGAAGGGACTGAGATCATGGATCTGCCAAAGGAGGTTGCGAAGCTAACAAAGCTCACTTGCTTAGAAGTATCTTTTTGTCCACGCGTCAATCGTGGCACCAAATCTGCGAAAGCAAATGCATTGATTCCTCAAGGCACTATTTCTGCGCTATCCCAATTAGAAGAGCTAAGTATTGATGTAAATCCAGAGGACGAGAGGTGGGAGAGTGTTGTGGAAGCTGTTGTTGACGATGTTTGTGGCTTGTTGAGGCTGGATACACTTAAACTGTACTTTCCACAAGTGGAACATCTAAGGAAATTCAAATGGTTTGGTACATCAAAGGTGTCTAGATCATTGTCATATTTCAAATTCAATGTTGGCGATCACGGTGAACGCATCATGTCTCGTCTCCCGGTGGATCTTGAGTTTGAGTTAGAACACTGGGATAGATCCCTGAAATATGTAAACGGTGTGGGTGTGCCCAGAGAAATCCAGAAGATGCTCTGGCATACTACTGCATTTTTCTTAGACCGCCATACGGATGTCATTAAGCTATCTGATTTTGGGATTGAGAACATGGAGCGACTGAAATGCTGCATAATTGGGGAGTGTAATGAGATTGAGGTCATTATTGATGGAACTGACATGTACAATGAAGCTGATAGAAGTGAAATTGTATTGGAATCATGGGAGGATGGTAAGAGGTTTCTCGGATCACTTGAGTATCTCTACGCATATCATATGAAGAGTTTGAGGACCATTTATGAGGGGCCAATAAATCGAGGATGCTTGTCTCATCTTAAATGCTTGGCCTTACTCACATGTCCTCGGTTGACTACTATATTCACGCCTGGCCTCCTGATAAACCTGGGTAGCTTAGAAGAGCTCAAAGTCGAAGCCTGCTCCCTTGTCTTTAGTTTAGTGAGGTGTGATGATGCTTCTTTTTACAAGAGCATTTACTTCCTCCCCAAGTTGAAAAAGATATCCTTATTCTCATTGCCTGAACTCATTAGCATTTCCAGTGGCTTATGCATTGCACCAAGCTTGGAACGAATGAGCATTATTGATTGTCCGAATCTCAAGAGTCCATCACCTGATGAAATCTGTTGCAATCATCTGACAGGAACTAAAGGTAAGGGTAATAATCAGCGGAGAGCATTGTTCTGTTGGAATGATGCATGTCATTTTCTTTCACTTTCATTTTATACATTTCATTGAACAAGTTAAAAGCTGCAGGCCCAGCTTTATGAAGAGAAAATTGGAAAGTCAACATTTGTCTGAATGAACTCTTATCTTCTTTCAAATCGGATATCTGATCTATTACCCTTGAAATGTTTATGAATGAGGCAGTGACAGCTAACTGTATGAAACTCTGGCCGTTCTACTGTATCTTCAGAACTGTGACCTCTTCTGATGCATATTATATTTCAGTGTACAAAACCAAATGTTGTCACAGCATTAGTGTGCAGTGATTTGGATTGCTAGTTTATTTTTGCCACTGTAAACGTGCTTCAAGCTTGTAGAGTGACTTAACAATAGTCGGCTCAGTTACTAATTTTGGATGGGAAAATTTCTTCATTAGAGTGCTTAGGGAGTTATTATCGAGCCCATTTGTGGATAGATTATTGGAATTCCTGTTTACATTCTGTAGAAAGACTGTACTTTTTTATCTAGCGAGATGAAGATCTTACTTCTTAATATCCTGCTTGTGTTTGTTGGAGGGACATATGGGAAAAGGGAAAGCAACGTACTTTTTATTAATTTTTGGTCTGGTGAAGGAATGAACTTGAAGTTAATGTTTGATTTTTGTGGCAAAGTCCAACCAAAGGCTTAAGGTATTAGGGCGAGGGAGACTACATGTATACAAGGTTATTATCAAATTTTCAAATTGTGTTACGGATTGCATTGTAATAATTGCGGATGTGGGCATATGAGCCTCTTGGAGGTGTAATCACCACAGTAGGGCTGATAGCGGCTGCAATTGATGTGAATTTCATTCTTGCCGACTGCTATCAGCTGCTACTTAAAACAATGGTTATTATAAGCTTCGTAAACAAGTGATGTTCCATACTTTAATGTCCCCTCTCATGTGCAAACCCGAATAAAACCATATGATCTTTGCACTTTGATAATAACATAGAGAAAATATCCCACTCGAAATGAAATATTTCATGGTGCATGAAAAATTGAAAGTTGGCTCTAGCACCAGATTAAAAGTCCAATTTGAAAGTTTAAGTTATTAAGTGGATGTAGACCATAGAACCATTACAAACCCCAAAAGAAGCAAAGTGGGGTATTTTACCATTATATGTAGCTTGTTATTGTGAATTTATAGTCTAATTCCGGTTTTGTGCTTTAGTGACTCATGCATTTGGCCCACTAACATTTGTCAAGTCGGAGTTTTTTGCTCTCTAAATGTGCTGTTATGCCTAGTTTATGTAACTCTTTTGTTGGATTTGCTGTGCAATTGCCGTTTCACACTTTATCGACTTATGCTGTAGCCCAATCAGAACTTGCCAAGTTACTCTCTGACGCTCTCTTTGATTGCCATTGTCCTCAGGAGCGCTCTTTGTTCCCAGAGTTTTATTTGGTAGTGTTGGTTTGTCAAGTGACTAACAGTTATTGTGGTTGTAGATCATCTAGTAATGGTGATCAGAGCAAAGTATCTCACAGGAAGACATGAGTTTGTGAAAAATCTAGACTAGGTTGAGGATGTGATATCATAAGAAGTGAGTGTTCAGTGCCTCAGAGATTGAGAAAGTCGTATATCAGGAAGCTGGGACATTTGTCATTCTGAGTTGCTTGAAGAAAGTTTTAGCGTTTCAATAAGCATTGAGTGAGGTTATGTGATGAAATGGAGCTGATAGTGGTGAAGTTCATTGAGGAGTTGATTGATTGCGTTAAATTATTTAGTTATATCAAGAGATCTGGTAGATTCATTGCTGCTCATCTTTTTCCACCGCTTTGATTGCAAGTTGAGGTATGTTGTCAAAGTCATTTGTTGTAGACCGCAGGTATTAACCTGGGTGGCTACATACTCTCCTCTATCCGGGACTGGATATCCTTTATCCGGGACTGAATATTTCCTTGAATTGGAAAAGTAACATGTGCTGGGCCAACTGGCAGATTAGCTAATTCATCTTTAAATTCCTGTTTAGATGAAGTGGCTTGGTGCTAGTTGTTCATCTAAGTGACCCAAATCGGCGGTTACTCATTTTGTCTAATATGCTGATTTTGTGTTTGAGCAGAACAAAGCATTCCAAATGATGCAAGCAGAGAGCAGCCTGCACCTCCTGTGGTTTCATTGACGACCACTGGTAATGCAGACCCTTCAACTTCTATGGGGAGGACTGCCTTTCCTAATGTTTCGCAGAAACCCAGCAATCTCAAAGCCTTCACTGTTTCAGAACTCAAATCAGTCGCCAAGAACTTCAGCCGCTCTGTCATGATTGGAGAGGGTGGATTTGGGTCTGTTTATAGGGGTACAATCAAGATTACAGAAGATCCATCTAACAAACTTGAAGTGGTTGTGAAGCAGCTGGGCTGGAAAGGAACCCAGGTAAAACTTTATCCTACCTAATCATGTGTAATCATCTGTTTTTAAGATTATGCGTAATAGTGTATTTTCTGCTTGCTGTTTATCTGCAGGGACATAAAGAATGGGTGACGGAAGTTAATGTTCTCGGTGTGGTTGAGCATCCAAATCTTGTAAAATTAGTTGGATACTGTGCCGAGGACGATGAAAGGGAAATTCAACGGCTTTTGGTATATGAGTATATGCCGAATGGAAGCGTTGATGATCATTTATCATCTCGCTCCCAAAAACCCCTTCCATGGGAAATGAGACTAAGAATAGCTCAAGATACTGCTCGTGGCCTGACATACTTACATGAGCAGATGGACTTCCAGGTTACTGCCTTGATCCATTTTACGTTGACTCATAAATGGCATCATTTGTTTCTCTTCATTCAAGTTCAGCCATCCCATTTCCATAGCACTTAGGCATCACTTGTCCATTAGAACTGAAATTTCCTTTCTCATCCTCTTCTTTTCAAGTTTCCTTTTTCATTTCTTTGCCTTGATATGGGAGTCAATGGGATGACTCTAAATGATTATGAGCAACTTCTACTTTTTCTGAAATCGTTTTCTTTAGTATAGTGACATGGCAGCAACCTTTCTCATTGGCCAGGATTACACATCTGAAAGTCCGGGCCTGCCTTCTTACTTACCTTTTGGGTGATTTCTGATACAGATAATTTTTAGAGATTTCAAATCATCAAACATTTTACTGGATGAGCAATGGAATGCCAAGTTGTCGGACTTTGGATTAGCAAGACTCGGACCTCAAGAGGGTTTCACTCATGTATTAACAGCGGTATGCTCATATAGATTGATCATTCTTTTATATATTGTCCGTATGTTCCTACGTAAATTAAAGACATAATTCAGTGCTAAATAACTAAAGCTCTATTCAGTAGCATCTCCCATCATTTTTACCTTCTCATTGTTCTTTGTCTAATGTTCATTTTCATTATTATGAGGACAGTCTAGTCACAGAAAGAAAGGTCCATAGCTAATTGGGCATGTTTTTATGATGACTTTTGCATGAAGATTTTTTTCTCTACGAACCATTTAGTGATCTAGGCTATTGTACTTTTTGTCTCTAGAAGCTTTAGCGTTTCTGAAAGAAAGTTGGGCAGCGTCAATTGTTTAACAAAAAGCCATAACACAAATCCTGATGCATCAACGGCTAGCATTAATTGTTTGTTAAAGCTTTACAATGGTCTTTTTTTTTCTTTTTTGGTCGAAAAGCTTTACAACAGTCTTTATCCATTACGTATATTCATAGAGATTAAAAGGTACGACTAGCACTCTGATGGACCATTAACTATGGCAGACAATTTAATAATACTCTACTTAGATCAATTCATCCCTTTTTAATTCCTTTGGCAGGCATGTTCTTGTTACTTTGACTTTTCAGTGATTGGGATGATGTACTTCATCCAGCAACTGCTAAAATGGGCTTGTGTGCTTCATTTACTTAAATCAGCTTTTTATGCATGTGACTTTGTATGAATGTGGAACCCAACTCAATTTTGAGAATGTTCCGAGTCTGGTACAACTCCATAGAAAACCCTGATATCCTTTTAATCTCTTTGCCTTGCTTCATTGCTAGACTTATTAAAGCAAACATAGTGCCTGCATCGGTGAGAAGTTTGGTAAAACCTGAATGACACCGTGAAAGTGATTTCTACATACTGTATGCCTTGTGGGGCGCTAAAATTTTACACCTGCCCTCTTCCTTTGTTAGAAGCGAATCATGCTAAAAACATTAACGCTTGCACAAATTTGTTACACTTTTGATTAGGGTACAACTATGAATAAATTAAAGTACAACCTCATGCAAGTCTTCCTTGAAATTTTTTGTGCAATGGACGATTCTAACTATATTTCTTGTATTGTTAATGATGGTTTTATACCAGGTTGTGGGAACCATCGGATATGCTGCTCCTGAATATCTGCAAACTGGCCGTCTCACATCGAAGAATGATGTATGGAGCTATGGGGTTTTCCTCTATGAACTAATCACCGGGAGGCGTCCTTTAGATCGTAACCTCCCCAAGAGAGAACAGAAGCTTTTAGAATGGGTGAAGCCACACCTATCAGATCCAAAGAAGATCAAGTTGATAGTGGATCGCAGGCTTGAAGGGAAATACCAGGTCAAGTCTGTGTACAAGCTTGCAACGGTAGCCAACAAATGCTTGCATAAAAGCCCAAAGTCACGCCCTAAGATGAGTGAGGTGTTAGAGTTGGTGGACGAGATTGTGAGGGAATCAACTGGCATGGACTCATTGAATAGTTTTAGGTCAGTAGAGACACAAGGGGATACTGGAACGACATTCTCCGTTTCTTGGACCCAAAGTCTTCCATCCTCCAAACGCGAAATGAGCTCTTCGGAGACAGAGACAGACTCGGAATGCAGCGCTCAATGAAGACGGCAAAAGGATCAACAACCAGAAGCGTACGAAGGCTTCGGATGTCAGTGTTTGTTTTCGAATGGGCACAAAGGAGGGAGAGATTTAGGGTAATTCTGAGTTCTTTCTTGGGTCCTAAGTTTTAAGACCGTATGCTGAGATTCGCCAAGATTATGATCGGATAGCCTCGGAGACGTTCGTAGGATACGACCGTTGGTTGTTTTTTCAGGTTAATTCAAATTCTCTCAAGGAAAATGATAAAAAAAGAAGGGGTGGTTTTCTAAATTAGGAAACAAAATTACATATGAGAAAGCGACAATTAATTGGACAATAGGAGAGCACGTGCGAGAGGCACGTGATCATTCTAGTTAATACAGTTTGAAGGTGTCGGCACTAACGAAAATAACTGTAATTACTTTCATATTCTAATTTGTTGGCTATTTAAATAATGTCGTGATTAGTTTTGCAACCCCACGTAATTTTTTCCTTGATCCGAGGGTTATCTTTGAACTAATTTCTGCCGAGTCTTTTTACAAATTCTATTATTCTCGAGTTAAAAAATCAATTGACTGCAAGAACGCATCCAATTTACAAATTTCATGAAAAAGAAAGGGCTCATGCTATTTACATCCTTTAAAAAATTTTACATGCGCTATTGAGATTTGAATAGTTCAAAATAACCCTCATTGGGATCTCATTAATCGTAAAATCGATAAAAGAAGTGGATCAACTAATGTCATAGTTTTGAACCACCTTCTTTAACTGTTATTCTTTTTATTTTTTTGTGTGTTTAAATTAGAGAAGTTTATAGATTTTTTGTTTTTGTTATACGAGAATCCTCCAAGAGTTGATTATTGTATGATCAAGATTTTAATTTAAAGGAATGTTGATAATTTTTACCTTGCGATGTCTATGTTACATTTATTTACAATCTCTCCCTAAAATACAATTGCTAATAACTCCACTTTATCATACAATTAATGGACAAAGTTGTGAATTCTTTCTGATTACAATTTAGATTTGAAATATTTTAACTGATAAAGATTACCTATAAGGTTCAAGCTCATAATAAAAAACATTTACAAAAATCAGTTTAAGCACATTAGTAAGTAAAAGAGAGAAGATGAAGTTTATCTAAAAACGAATGGAAAGTAACAAATGGTGGGTGGAATAAACCCGCATTATTGTGATCATAATCAAGAGTGATGTAATTTCATGGTAACGTAAAAACGTCACTAATAACAACTTTTACCCCTTTCACATGTGATTCCAATTAATTAATTACCTGGAAATTATTTTTGTCGACTCAATAAATCAAGACGTGTTATTAGACATTTAGAACATGAAAATAGCATGGGCCAAAAAATAAAAATTTCGCTGAGCTTATTATTCTTGCTTTTCGTGGATTACTTCATCACAAATGTTTCCCTATATAAAGAAGTATCTCCAATCATGTAATACACAAGAGTTGAGTATTGTATGATCAAGATTCCAATTTAAAGATATATCAATAAATTTTACGTTGCCATGTCTATGGAACATTTATTTACAATCTCTCTTAAATACAATCGCTAATAACTCCACTTTCACGTACAATTAATGGTTAAAGTTGTCAACTCTTTATGATTACAATTTAAATTTCAGATATTTTAATTGATAAAGATTACCAATAAGGTTCGAGCTCATAATAAAAAATCATCTATACAAAACAGTTCAAGCACTTTAATAAGTAGAAGAGAGAAGATGAAGCTTATCAAAAAACGAAAGGAAAGTAACAAAAGGTGGGTATAATAAATCCACATTATTGTGATCATAACCAAGAGTGATGTAATTTCATGATAATGTAAAAACGTCACTAATGACAATTTTTACCCATTTCACTGGTGATTTTAATAGATCAATTACCTGGAGATTATTAGATATTTAGAGCGTGGAAATGGCGTGGGCCAAAAAACAAACTGAGCATATCATTCTTGCTTTACGTGTATTCCTTCATCACAAATGTTTCCTTATATACAGAAGCATCTCCAATCATTGATAGCACTTGCCAAATTCGAGAAAAAGAAGTAATTCCTGAATTAATATCCAAGATAAGAAATGGGAAACATTTCCATTAGTGATATCGACAGCCATAATCAAATAATTCATGGCTCTTACAAGAATATACAAATGAATTACAATTTTGAATCTTACAAGATAAATGGTGCAGAAATTTGCCCAATTTTGTCACATTGCTGATATCTTAAACATAGGTCATAGCCGATGCCTTTTGAGAAAATCAATGCAATGCCTGCTGCTCATAATGATCTTCGCGGTATTTGTGCCGTTGAGATTTATTCTTCTGGATCACGATCCCTTTGACCACTGAATATGTCACTCGGGACAAATGCGATTGAATAATCAAATGACCATATACATGAAGGCCATGGCTACCGAGGCATTGCTTCAGCTTGTACAGTGCTCAACTCTCTAGCTGTCTCACCCTCTCCTTCAACAGTCCAAAGATGTTTCCAATGTCTGAGAGTGACCTTTGTTCACTGCCGTCGATGCCATATCTTAGCTTCATGATCCGCCTCTCTTTAGGGCTGAGCGTGCTTAGGAGGTTGCGCACGTGTCTTCTCATTAATTGCTTAGAGACGTTTAGATCTGGGATCTCAACCCCAGTGTCCGCAGTTATCTCCTGCAAAGATAATTGGAGTTGAAACGAGTGTTGGCATGGCAAGCAGCAACTTATGGCAGCAAGGTTAGATAAAAATAGAAAATCACTGGCTCTAAGGATGTTGGAGTTTAAAGTGCGGCCTTAAGTTTTACCTTATGACTATGCAGAATTGATTATTGATAGAGCCACCAACATAACGTTTTTCATTGAGGATGAGTATATAAATGATACAAGTGAGTCAAATAGGTGCAATTGAAGCATTTGCAAATGCAGCATTCAATTCATAAAAGCTCGGAAATGTCTTGGAAAAGCAAGTCAAATCTCAAATGTCACCATCCAAAAAATGAGTATCTCTATCCAAAGTTAATTAGAGCTCACTAAAATTTACTTTGGCATCAGAATTCAGCATTGTGCACAGGCATGAGTGCATAGCCACCATCCCTTTCTACATAAGTTGGTATGCTTAAATCTGAAGTAAATTTTTCCTTTGATTATCCCCAAGATAGCAGGCTTAGAGGCTAAAGCGTGCTTTCAACAATTGAACCACACCGGCAAGCTTATAAACCATAGCAGCATCCACAGAACTGTAAGAACTTTAAATTAACAGTTGCAGAAAACACAGACTGATGCATGACAAATTAATCCGCGGCCTAGTTCTTAATAAATCAGACATCTAGCTTCCAAATTCCTTTTAGTTGCACAAGAATTTCATTCATCACAACATAGATACATGTCACATATAAGATTCATCGCAGTGACATGGTTTATTTCGACCAACAAAAAAAAGTGACATGCTTTATAAGCCATTTAAAGAGATTGGGAGAAGAGTATCCATTTATGGTCTTCATCTGGGTGAGAACATGCATCACATTGTCTTTTCTCTTGTTTTTTCTTTGATCGAAGTCTTTTCTCTGGTTGAAATGACCTACCAAAAGCAGAGAAAGAAGTCAGCACTACCTGAAAGGTGGTATCCTGGTCTGCCCACACAGGCTGTTGCAGTGAGAGCGGTGTTGTTGTAGTAGATGCTAGTTTTTCTAACTTGTCGACTGAAATTCCAGCACTCTTAGCTTCTTGTTCTTTGCTTGGATGATGATGTCCCTCTTGAATCTAAGATCTCTTTCCTTCCATCACCTTGCCGAGGAGCGCATACACATTTTCCTGCAAGAAAATTTTCGATCCTGAATGACACAAAATGTCTATATTTTCTCCACTTACTAAATTGCGCATTCAAAGAGGCAAACAAAGCCAGACAATTCAACTCCTAAACAGCAGTTGCTTCCCCAGCTGTTGGACACTGGTAAAAGAAAGAAAAGCAAAGGAGAAAATAAGACTAGATACCGGCAAACGTATTGTCCTGGAATTTCAAAATATGGCCTTCCTTACTGTCTGCCTAATCCACCAATAAGCATAAGTGGCAAACCGGCAGCCTGCCCGCGGTTCGAACTTCTCGATCCTCTTCATAAGAACCATACTTCCTGAATTTAGCGAGCAAGTAAAAGTATTGCAATCTGGATTCTGGACATGGAAGGCCTATGATGAGAGAAGAGTCAAAACTCATTATTTTGGCCACAAAAGAAGGATGACCTGGTACATGAATGGAAAGTTGAGGAGCTTCCTGTAAAATGTAGAACAGGTATTGAAATTGGTGTGCTATGTGATCGACACAAATCTGTTTCCCTCGAGTTTTGAATTGATATCATTCTTTTGTTGGAGAGTAATATTCATGTATTCTGTTTCTCTGGTTCTATATATGCTCTCTCTTCGTAATGGACCCTTTCCACCCTAGAAAACTCTGGAGCTCATGAGTATTCAAAGTGGGTTCTGCTGCATGTACGAGCAAGATTTGGTAGGTTGTACTTCAAGGATGATTAAAAGGAGACAAGGAGGGTCTGCAGGAGTACAATATTGTCGAGACAGCACTACTATATCGGTTTACGTGTTAATGGCTCGCATTGAGAGTTGTCAGTCCTTTACAGCGGTGGTAAGCAATCTATACCTTCTGCAAGCTTAGCTTGGGACAGAGTTTAGATCCAACCAAAAGTGTCCCTAGGAACTATTGCAGTATGCCGTGACAACTCGATAGAAAAGGAAACCATCCGGAAAAATATTCAGGGTTTGCTAAATATCTGTGTACAAATTGCAGATTTGTAATCATTATGCAAATCAAACAAATCACATATGGACATTGAGAATAAAAAATCTGTGTCCCCTGTTGAGCTATAAATGTATTGAATCAAAATTTCAGTCGATACACTTTGGAAAGGACTCACCAAATTACAAAAAGTATCATGAGTCTCTGTGTAGCACTACGTAATCATACATCATTAGCTATAAAGTTTGTAGCTTCAGCATGAATTGAATCTCTGAATATCTGACAATTACTAAGAAAAACCAAGATGATCAGTAGATCTCTCCTTCTCTGTCGAGTAAGTCTGCTTCAATATCTTCATCTACAGATGCGTCCTTCAAGAACAACCCGAGTTTCTCCAGCGGGTTCTCTCTCCGAGCACCGTGAAACGCTTCCATCACCCAGGGAGAGCGCCCGAACACCCTCTTGAGCTCCTTTAAAGCATCC